AAGACTGGCCTGCAGGAAGCCAGGGAGCTCAGTCGCTTCCACCTCAGATGTCTCAGGAGGATAGTAAAACCGAGGGGTAGGGCAGGATCCCGAACGCGCAGATATTGGAACGGTCAGAAATCCTCAGCATCCTCGCTATGCAGAGGCGAATGAAACTTTGATTGGGCGGTCGCGTCGTAGGGTTGGGTGACGAGCCAACGCACGAGCAGCCCTCCTACGCCGATTTCGATATGGGTGTTTGCTGACGTCGAGGACATTTCGGCGTTTTAAGGACCCTTTTGAAACCTAACTCATGAGACTGCACATCAACCCGGAGGCCGGTGAGGACGTCGCCCCTGGACGACTGGCCTGGAAAAGATAAGTGAAGAATGGAACAGCAATCTCCGAAGCCAACCGGACCACCATGGCCAAAGCTAAAAGTGCGATTTTCAGGTCTCAAAAGCCCCAGTTCATAACATCAACGCCCAACCCCTTCCAACATGCCTTCGTTTCTAGCAAGCATTCTACGCACGGAATGGACTCTTCGGGCATCTCATATCCAGTGTAGTAACAGCCTGATAACTCCATCTCCTGCCTCCGCAAACACCCCCCATCGTCGCCCTAACGATTAATCCCACGACGGTGACCAAAACAACCACCTGTACTGCCGCCATAGATCACACCTGATGTCTTGAGGCCTCAGCGGACGCCGTAGTTCCCGACCACCTCTACTACGTCTGCTGAAACCCTGCGACGAAGACTATCACCTTTTTAACACTGACTAGAGTCAAGGACACTCCTGTCGCCCCGTCAACCCTACCCTCACTACCAACGTTTCCGTCATCAGAAATGAGAACTCGATCTGAACCTGAGCCCACTGAGACCGCACATCCACCTTACGCATCAACCCGGCCGACCATTTTCGAGATCATCGTGCAGAGATCGACGCATCAGTTTCGTGAACCCATAAATGCGCTTGTTGCGGACAGTCATCATGTCAACGTCGTTCCTCTCGCTAGTGCCTGGACCTACGATCTGCCGGCAGACTTCTTCGGCACACACGTCTGCCCGGCTTCGATTTGTCTTGCTGCAATTCTGTCAATACCACACTTCTGGTCGCTACTCTGCCTGCACCCTGCGAGGCTTGTCCCTATCCTCGCGTCGGCTTGGATCCTATCAACGCAGCTCCTTTCTCTGATTGGTAACACAGGCAGGGACAAGAGATCCGTGGCGCAAACAACTTGCCTGAACACTTTTGCATCGGGACTTGCGGCGATACATGGCTCGTCGCTCTGGCGGACGCCGCCTTCGCGGCACCGGACGCAGCCTCGTCCGGCCACCAGCTTTCCTCTATTGTTCTGTACAGAATAAGCCTTTTTTCCACATGACGTCCCACTTTCCCTTACGCATTGAGATTTAAACTGAAGTTGCAGCGCACTGATCACCCACTCACACCGCTTAGCTGTTACACGCTCGCCACATCAGCCTTCATTGTCTCTACTGATCGGGCATGCTTGTTCACCGCGGAGGCCAATTCAGCCGCATTCATATAGGCTTGGGCGGATTTCAGCATACCGATTATACGCCGAGCAAACCTTGCACATCCGGTTGCCCCCTAATATCCAGCATTACTAATTTCCGCCACCAATGCAGGTAAAACTAACAGTATCAACACCGACTCGGCAGCTCCCAACCTATACTGCTCGCATTGCCGTCGCACATGCACATCACGCATCGGCCTGATCGGTCACGTACAAATGCATCACAACGAGACTAGCAGACTGGATTCTGGGTCTTTTCGTTTACCTATCGCGTCCGCCTCATTTTTCCATATTGTCTACACACATTCTGTCACCGCACGGGCTGAGTCGGCCACATGCTCTTCAATGGGATCCTGTGTTGAACACCACCGGTGTTACCCCATCACCATTTATCTCCCCACCAGCCCAAACATCTCCCACAAACCTGTCCCTTATTAATTACTACAAGCCTTGACTCGGCACCCTTAATGTAAGTGGGAGTCGTGCTCTTCACCTCTCCTTCCCCCCCTTTGGTAGCTACAACTTAATCTAAAACAAACGAGATTCGAGCAGTCCACACCGTTTGCGTAGAATCCTTCGGTGATGTGTGTGTGTTCCCACATGAGTTAACGGACCGTGGTGTGATGGTATGTCAAGGCGCGAGTTTACGCCGTGTCAGCACCAGAAGCAGATATCGCCTCCGGAATCCTGGATGCTGTATTGACACGGGGTTCAGGTGAGTGAGGAAGAGGGAGTGCGGTATATGCAATGCAAGTGTACTGTCACCATAAATTAGATCACGCGAAAATCGGCGTCATGTCCTCAATCTGCTGTGCGTACACGGCGGACATCGTCGGGAACAACTGTCGAGCTGTTGAAGTACCTGAGTTTGCTTAGCGAGATGCTGCATTCCCAAATTATCTATTTATGTGTTATTTCTGGTATCCTTCGCATAGTTCTTCTAATTTTATAGACATTGATAGATAGATAGATAATTTTTATTAAGGACCCGTCGGGGTCCCATCAAAGCACGTTAAAATAAATCTACGTGCGAGTTTTAGACGAGGTAGACCGAATCTTTACAAAATGCAATTCATAATTTCTGAATTACTAGTCCATTGAGAAACATGATAATTGAGGGGTGAAAAAAACTCCTTAAACAAAGTTAAGAATGATTGGATTAATTTTATAGGAAAAAAAACCCCTTAAAATTGTGCCTGATAATTTGACATACGTTTTTGCCTTGCTTTTTTCAAGTTGGTTATTTTTTCAGGGTTCTGATGTTTGTCTTGGCGCTTAACACGAAGCAGCTCAATGTGTTGCTGTAGTTTCCACTTTTAGTCTCCAATGTTCATTCTTCGCAACCTCATTATGTTTCTATTAAGCAGCCTTGGCAACACATGTTGCATTCCTAAGGGCTGAGCTAAACCAAGAGTGAGAACGGTATGACTCAGTTCAAATGATCGATAATGTTTTATTATTGCCACAAATGTTTGATAGCACTAAGTTTTTCTTCACAGAGCAAATAGTGTTAACACGCTTTTAATGTAGATCAACGTCTGAGTCAATCATGTGAGCAAATCACTTGAAATTTCTTGTTTTCGGGAAATTGGAATGAACTAGAGTGGCTGTAGTATCTTGCTGAAGCGCCATTTATTGGCCTAATAGAAGCGAAGGGGCGAGTCCCAGGAAGTAGTCGCAAAGAAGGAGACACGATCACAGGAACAAGAGCTCTATTAGTCCGACGTTTCGGATCCTCATACTAATCCATTATCAGAGACAGAGTCCGATAGGGGTGGTGAATTACCCAGGTGCTGCAGTACTTATAGGATGTAGTTGTTAGGCCGCCACACGCCTATCCCAGTTGGCAGCTCCCGAGTGCATCACGGCTTGACTGGCCTGGCGCTGGCCTGCAGTTGCTGTGAGTTTATGCGTCGGTCACGATGGACTACTGGGCAATTTGGCGCGCCACTATTGATACCGCGAACAGTGGTCATTTGCATGCTCTTTTGGAGGCTAACGGCCTAACCCAGACAAAGTGTCAGCTCCGAATACGAGCGGGCAGGACTGGAAAACCATGGTTCGAGCAGTTCGCGGCTCACGCGGTTGTCACCTATAACAAGAATGTCTGCTTCGTCAAACTTGAATGTGTAACAGGGTCCCGTCGAGTAAGCCGCGACTTGGGAGCTGACGTCCTTCCACCCTACTGATGCTGCGTGCTCGGTCATCCGTGTTCGAGGTGGTCTTCCAGTTTCTCTAACATAGTTGCTTCGCCAACAGATGCACAAAATACGGTAAACGACTCCAGCTGTTTCTTGCCATGGCAATGGGACCTTCGCAACACCCGGACAATTTTACCGCCCTTATCTGACTTTGTCTCTGGTGATGGATCCGACTGAGGATCCGAAACGTCGGGCTAGTAAGGCCCTTGTTCCAGCGATTGTGTTTCCTCCTTCGCAGTTATTGACCTTCCTATTTGTCCCTATCTGGCCTATCCAAACGGCATGATCAACGGCTGGAATTTCGACACATGACCCAGTGCATCTTAATTCATCTCACTCTTCGAAAACAACTAACGGATGTACTTTGCTCATGCGATTGTTCCGCAGCTTGATAAAGGCAATAAGTGTATCCATGCTATCTGTACTACAAAAACTAGAACTGTCATTATTCAGTAAGACCAAAAAGGTAAATAACCTGGCAAAATTGATCATGCCTTCTCAATTCCAGCTTTCATCAGTCCTTAGGAAGAGGGCATGTGTTAGCCGGGGGTAACACACTCCTCGGACGGGTACGTATCCTCACAGGCTTGGTGCGAAAAGACCCCTACTTATTCAGCCGACAGAATGACAAGAATAAGAAAGTTTCGACCTTGGCGTAGTCGATCCTCAGTTTTTAAAAAGAGGTCTGAAGCTTAACATTAACCTGTGGGTCTAAGACGACTTGAAATGCCGGGCCCACCTTGTTTCCGCTGCTTTCTCTACTCATATGCCAAAAATTTCAGTCTAGGAATATGTTTGCTAAAAATAAAGACACCAAAGTCTCTTGCATCTTCAAAAAGATTCGATGAATTGATTTGAGTTCCAAAGTATTTGTTTCCATGGGCTGTTCGCTGGGCGGTTTGGTGAAATCAGTTGGGGCGTGATTGGCGGATGGCTTCGAAATTACGCATAGATGGCTTTAAAATATACGAATTTACTCCCACAACCTTTACAGCTCTGTCAAGAAATGCCGAAGGCCTAATAGCTGCCGCTAGGTCTGATGGTTCTTTAGATGTCTATGATGAGAGAGACAATTTTTACCTTTTACATCGGTTCCCGTCCTCGGTATTAGTCTCGGTCTGTTCAGTATGCTGGTTTGACGGCCGCTTGTTTGCCGCAGGAGGCGAAGGACGCATTTTTGAGCTCGATCTTCCCCGGTTAACCGTGAAGGTAACAATGCCAATCCATAATTTTTTTGTAGACTAGCCTACTTCTTCCAGGAGGCCTTCCCTGCCGTTGCATGGCCGCGGACAAGGATCATTTTGTTGGAGGGAATGACGGCGGATACGTTTGTACAATTGCAACACAACCAGGGGCGCTTGAAATTAAGAACGTGGCTGTGAAGTTAGAGGGTAATGGGAACGTGTTGACCATCATATTTTTAGGAAAGGTGCTTTCACTTGCCGTAGACGCAGAAAAGCATAAAGTAATTGCGGTCGGTGATTCCCTCGGAAAAGTCCACTTGATAAATATAGATTCGTGTAGTGTTTTCTCAACATTTTGCCTGGACGCCGAATCATCTGTGTTACCAACCGTCGTTTGGTCTCTTCTCTTTGTTGGGTATGACAGTTGACTCATGAACCTGCCCTAGGAACTTCCATTTGTACTATGTTCTTCGCATTATTAGCGTTTCTTCATTTTATTGTTTAACCTTTGGCAGGATATCTCTTACCTTTTATCTGGGCATTATGATCGCATGGCTTTGTAGTAGCCACGCCCTCCGGCTGTCTAGCTGCTGGTACCTTGCTAATTCTGTAGTTAATTTTCAGATTCGCTACAATGCCCTTTAACGTATTTCCTTCCGTTTTAGAGATAGACATACCAGTACTTTTGTATACCGTATCAAACGTCCAACGACTAGTCCAACAGGAGTGATGTAGAATCGAAGAACCGTTTCTTGAGTTACACGACAGGCTATTTTCAACCTTTAGTAGACATATACTGAGGGAAATTCCAAGTGCACTCACTGTGAATTAGGGAAGGTGAAACTGAGACTGCCACCAGGGCGGGGTCAAACTTTCGTGGACCTGCACTAAAAAGGACACACCGCTCCTTGATCCTTGACGAAAGTCAATGTAACCACCTCAGTCCATCTAAAAAGCGCTTCTTCCTAACTCTTGTCTGCATGTTGCTGCCTAATAGCGTTACCGATTTGTGTTTAACACCAGTTAGTTGTGCCAAGGATCATGCATATTGTCGATAAGGTCCAATTTTTTTAAAGACCGAGTCCACTTTAAGGGAGTTTAAAATTCACATGCCCAATACATCCAGTTTTTTTTAATTCTTTTTCCTAGTGGTGTTCTCTTTTCCGGGGACAGCAAAGGACGCGTTAGTTTATGGAACATCAAGGTCGGTGGGATGATATGCAGTTTCGCCAGCCACAACGCTGATGTCCTTGCTTTGGCTGCTAGCCCAGACAGCATGTCCGTCTTTGCTGGTGGTGTAGACCCCATAATCCGGCGCTTTGATTTCTCGCACTCAGGCTCATCTGGTAAGCCAATACTTGGAGATTGCAGGGGTTCTGTTGATGTAGTCTGTACTTTAGTCCGTAGCTGCCTTTCCCATCCGCACCCTCCCCGCCCTGCATGTTTTTTTTCCCAGCGGAATGTGAGTGAAATCATGGCCGAGTCACATAAAGTCCATATTAAGAGCGCTTTTTGATGGTTATTTGTCAGTCTTTTCTTTCAGCGACCAAGCCTGTTAAGCTCGAAAGATCCTACTAGCATAAATCGATCCTTAAATGCGCGTTAAATTCTCAGTTAGAGCGCACTTAACACATCTCTGCATTTATATCTTTGTTATTGTAACTTGATTATGCTCCGTCTACGTTTTCGAGAACATGTGAGCACTGGTTCTCGTTATTCAAATGATAAGGGTCCCTCCAAGAATCCAGTTGAACGATATAACTGAACAGTTCCAGATGTCAGACCGAACCTTGAATTGTCGTAGCACGTACTCAACAGGAACTCGGGCATTAGTAGAGCGGCCACAACGATATTTTTTCGCCGACTATTCGCGGAATCACAACTGTCTCGGCAACTGCATCACCTATATTTTTCCTTTTTGCGGACAAGGAGCAAAAATCACTGCTTCATTCTGTTAAAGTAGACCTGGTGAGCTGTTCCGCTGAGAGATCCCGAAAAATTCGGAAGTAACCTCACATCTAGCAAATTTTAGCGAGTAGTTTGCTTTCTCTGAGCCACTATTGCCTTCTGTTGTGCTTGCTTGCTGCTACCATTTCAGCTGCAGATGTCCCAAATTAAATCTCACAGAACCGACCTCACTTTAGGAACTGATAGTTTCACATATTTTATGCTCGTGTTTCAGCTAGGTGGCAAGCAGGTGGCCTCATACACGGTTGTCAACGCGACATTCATGGCCTTGTCTATATTCCTCGCGACAAGACCGGTGGCGTGGTCGATGGCGGCTTACGTCAAGTCGATCGCCTCCTGGCCGCAGGTGATGATGGGCGCCTTAATCTCCTCGCTTGTTCCTCCACGTCGGACCTTGGTGTGGATGCACCCTTGCGGGCCCAACAGACTCCCGCCGCCCAGGTCGGTCAGCCACGCGGTGAGAAGTCCTCAAGCATTGCCAGTATCGCCGCCCTACCTTTGTGGCCACTAAGTTTGGCTCCATCCTTGCCGGTAACCATGCAGTTTGCAAGAGAGACCTTTTTGGCAAACAACGACAGCAGCAGCCCACCAGCCCGACTCGGTCTCCTACAATACGCCGACCATATGAACCTTATTCACTTTCCGCGAAGGCCAAAAACCTTTTTCAAAAAGTCAAATGACGCGAATGACGAAAAAAACCGGAACTTCCTTTGTCTAGCAGAAATTCGACCTCGCCGTGGACAACAGATCCTCACCTGTGCTATATCGCCATGTGGACGCTTCGTTGCCTACTCCGACACGACTCGCTCCCGTGTGCTCAAAGTTGCTCACCCGGTGGGTGTTATGTTATTACATTGCCTTTGTTTGTGGCCAGCCATGTTTGCCAGTATAGGCCTCAAACACTTGACCCCACACTTCAGTAGACCAAAAAGCATCGGAGTCTGCGTATTCTTTTCACTATGATTATACTTAGACTGTTAGGAATCAGTTGAATTTCGTGTTAAGTTGCCAGTTAAGTAAGAGGACCGGAGGCCTGTTTTCGACGGACGCACCGCCCTTTTGTCCGTAGCAGACGTTCCTTAATATTTTTGCTGCCTTGTCTCTGGATGGGTTCAGCTCATAGGCAGATCAGTCATTTTGGACGGGGTCGTAGTTCACTGACAATTCCTCATCTCATGAAGCGAAAAATTTTTAAAATGGACCCGGAAATGCTGTCTTAAGCGTTAGGGAGGTTTGGTATCATTCTACTTCCTCATCGTCATTTCAGTTTTAGAGGGGTAATTGCCGCGAAAATCACGCCAACCATCCCCAAGCTGCTTACCTAAGTCGGGGAAAGTTTATCCAGTCCTTTAGAAACAGGCATTTAGATGCCACTACATCTAACTATCTCTCATCGGGGGCGCTTCGAGCTGCCCTAATGACTGGGGACACAATAAACCCTGCAAGCTTATACCCACCGAAGACTACACTCAGTATTGCCTAAACTTCCTTGTGTACCCAGGAGTCGTGGCTTTTCGACCGAAACTGTCCCTCCCAACTTGTGACCATATCGCGTCTGGGTTGGGCCAATCTGGGAAGCGAACGCAAGCGACGCCGAAGATCGATCAGCAGAGCTTCATCCGAGGAGCGGTCAGTAGGTGCGGCCGCATCCACGCCCACAACTGGCAGCGGCGGAACCTCCGAGCTCGACTCCGACTCCGATGAGGGTCGTCTGTTTTTGGACCAGTCGTCAGCTGATCTGTTTACTGCTGCCTCCAATGGTCTTCCCGACACCGAGCTAGCCAACGTCGCCCCTACTGCCGCCGATAAGAAGCGTCCCTCGTCTGCAATGGTCCCTGCAGA